GTAAATAAAAATAGACTTTTAAACCCAACCCCTTTTGATTTTGCAGATTTTTTTTATATTTTTTTACCCCTCTTAAAATAAAAGAATATTTCCAATTTTTTTTATCAAACTATAGAAGCATCGAACCCGCAGCTGAGTGGGTCGTATTTCTATGTTGGTACTACCAACATAGAAATACGACCCACTTGGTAGTTACCTGGAAACTTTTTCTTAACAATATAATTTTTATTTCAGAATGTGCACAGAAATATGAGCATTCAATTAATTACAAAGAGGCTGAGCAACGAATTGGAGATTGGTTAAGAAGGGCAAAAGAAAGAAGGTTAAGAGGAGAAATAAAAAAAATTGAATTAAATGTTTAATTTTAGCTATAGGTATATAATATTATTATGTATGTATGTGTATGTTTTTTTCATTATACTTTTAGAATTTTATGTAGCTGGGGTATTTGGTTCCTTAAAGGTCTTTGGGGTGCTTATTTGTTTCCTTTTATATTATTTATTTATATTATTTTATATTTACTGAGTATTTACAGTATTTCAGTTTTTTACTTTAAATTAAATATGTTTTAAGTATTTAAACATTATTACAGTTACACTATTGTATTCGTTAAGAAATAACGTGCTGCAAGCTTTAAGTAGTAATGGTATTGGTGCCTGCAGGCATGTTTGTCTCCATAAACTGTGTCCTGTCTCCATAAACTGTGTCCTTTCAAAATAAAACTTATTTTGAAAATTTTCGATTTATTTCAAACCTTTCTAAAAGTCATTTAGGAATATAAAATATAACATACTAAAGTAAGTAAGTAAGTAAGTAAGTAAGGTCGACCTAAGGATGTTCCCAGAATGTATGAGGTTCATCCCAAGTTATCCTAGAAACATCCTGATGGGATGGACATGGAGTCTAAGAGACTCCCCTTCAACTTTAAAACACATGTGTTGGGTTGGGTCATATATAGTTTTAAAGTTTACATTAATGTAAACTTTAAAACTATATATGACCCAACCCAACACATGTGTTTTAATTACAATTACAATTTACAATTGTAGTCCCGAAATTCAGGGTTAAAATGAAAACTTTAAACCTTAAGGTTGGTTTTCCTTGGGACAATACACTGAGAAAAAAGTTTATTGCTATCAAATAAAAAAATATTTAAATATGGGACAAGGGTAGGTACATGTACCCTGCAGTTTATTTATCCTAAATATATTTTTATTCCCGACACATAAAGTTTTACTAAAGTATATTTATCGTTATTATTCGACTATTTAGAGGTAATAAACAATATATTCACTATTAATAAAAGTATTAGCTACACAGCTTATTTGTCCCATTTTTTTCTCAGTGTACCAACAACCCTATATACTTTTTCATTTTACACAGGTATACTCTGTATTACAGAGTCTGTAAATATTTTATTTAACCCTTTAGGACCTTTTGGTCCCATTTTTGTACGCTCCGCTTGATGTTTTTTTAATACATTTTTAGTAAAAATGTTTTACTTTATAGACATTATATGACCAGTCGTACACGTATATTTTTAAACATATACTTACCACCGTGTGGTAAGTACTGTCCGTTCAGGCTAAGTTGAGCGGTCTAAGGAATGTCACCCCGTCCATCATCTCTATGTTCAGGCACAATTAAATACATGTATTTCGGTAGCCGCTCTATACGAACAAACGGCAAGCCGCGGCACTGATAAATCATCTTCTTGTTACCGAAATCTCGCGACGATTCGATGTTTAATTTAATTAACTGCCACATGATCCCCCACCAAAGCGCTCAACTTAGCCTGAACGGACTGTATATGTTTTTAAATTATTGTGGAGCCATCTATACCATATCTATTAAAGTTGGTACAGAAATCATTAATTTAAATTCAAATTCTAAGATTGAAGACCGATTAAGGTATAACCTAAGACAGGGTCTTAGGGTATAACCATTGAGTAACTCGAGTTGATCAATGGTATAACATTTTGTATTTTGTATTTATTTTATGAAAATGGCAATCGAATAAATCTCCGGTTTTGCAACGAAGTAATCATAGATAATGAATAATAATCATAGATAATAAATTATAAATAATCCCTTTATTTGCAATGTGTGTCAAACTTAAAAACTGGGTATACATATGTTAAAGTGACCATCTTTCTAAAATAAGTCATTTTTTGAAACCGCAGATTAGAAGAAAAACACAACTCCACCATTACAAACAAAAAGCAAAATATTTTGACAGAACTTCTGAGAAGTCAACACGTCACGTGACATATGAATCATAACAAAAATAACGCATGATTTGTTTATTTAAAAATTATTTGGATACTACGGATTTTATAACGATTTTAAACTGAAAATAAATCAATAAACAATTATTAAAGGTCGTTTCCTTGAAGAGTAAAAATACAATTGTAGGTTTAAACCTTACAAATTTAATAATAAAAAGTTACTTTTACAAAAATAAACTAATAATAAAGTACCTATACCTACCTAACTGTTTGGTATTTTTTTTAATATGACATTAATATTTCTTTACAAAAATAAGAATATGCATAGGTATCATTTGACTTTAAGATATTACAAAATGCAGTACAAAAATGTTACATGTGAAAGTATCACTATTGAATTTAGTGTATTCAATGGCAAAGATTCATTATAGTTTATAGTATTGGATAAAATATGCAACTAGTGCAGTAGAACTGCATCTTGCAAGAATGTCTTCTTTCTTGCATTGAATTTCACGTAAGTAGGGTTTATGTCCTCCAGTTGGTGTACAATAGATTCAAACTTGTAGGTTGTGTTGCATTTGTGTAATTAAGGTTTATGCTCTTAGGTTGGTATCCCATGGCTTCCATTTTCCAACTCCTTTTAAAAATAATTTAATTAACAAACATAAAATTTAAAGCAAAAATATATTGGGCAATTTTTAGTAAAACAATAATATAACAGACATTAACACTGATGAAATTTAAATTTAAAAAATTCTAGCTTTTAAAAGAAGTAACCTTAAACATTAAAAAAGATTAATTTTTTTAAATGGTCTGGACCATTTACATTCGAGGTTGCATTCTTTTTGGTTGAATTTTTCTCTTTTACATAGGTATCTAAATATATTTAAAAACACGTTTTTCAAAAAATTTTATGGGGCTATTATGTAGCAAAATGCATCCAAAAGAGAATTATTGACTATAATAATTATAGTAAACCTTGGTTACAAACTAATGTTTAGGCTAACAAATTTATAAGATTTAACATTTGAAATATAAATTATAAGTTTTTACAAATATATTTTAGAACACTAACAAGTTTATAACTAGTGTGCATTTTGCATTTTTTTTTGCTTAATTTGTATTGTCACAAGGCCTAATAACCAAATTATTCTTTTTTATGAACCAACTCAACCTAAGTAATGAAAAACCAAGGTTTGCTAAAAAGCCAACAAGTTTTGAATTTAAAACATAATACTTACATTTTAAAACTATTTTACATATATCAATAAGGCTCCTTAAAAAGTTCTTAAAGCCAAACAGGACCCAATGGCACACAACTATCCATTAGGGGTCATGTTTCCAGTTTTGCCAATTCTGTTTCACACCTGTGTCACATACTATACTTTACTATCCTTCTTGTATGTTTCTCCCCTTTCTCTCACTCACTATAGGTGGGATAAACTGATGATATACTGGTTCCAACAATTAGGCCACGTGAATTTTTTGCTTTTGGCCACATGGATATTTTTATTTATTAATTATCTCAACCAGTTTTGACTTTCGGCATCCTCTGGAAGTACTGAAAACATACAATATTAGTTAGGTATCCACATATTTAAAATACATATTAAATGCTTACTCGTCAAATTAATTTTAAAAAGGTCATCTAATATATTAATTATATTATTTCTAAATTTAGAATGTTTCAAAAGGACGGGTTGACGACGCTGACATGTATTAGTGTTGCCCTGAAGAACCATTTCATGGCCATGTCACAAACCAATCCTAAACTGACCAACTGTTACTGCTTTCATCTCTGAATATATTTTTAAACTGTCAAAATCACTCCTTAGAAGTCAACCATAGAATAAGAATACATCACTTGCATACATATATCTATGATCATTTGTTATTGTTATAAAGCTTTTTGGTATATAAATAACAATATCAAATTGATATTATCAATGTACCTTTATGATGGCACCAGTAACTTTGTAAATTTTGTTGGTTATGGGTATATCAGAGGCAGGGTTGGGTCAGTAGAAAACCTTAGGTAATTTACCTTGGTAGAAAAGGGTAGAAAACTTGTTTTCAACTTGCGTCGAAAACCTATAGGGTTTTCTACCTACGTTAATTACCTTATTCGATCTTCTCCTTCCACTTCTCTATAATTGATAAAAATTTGCCCTCATGCCAAAAATTATGTTGGGGTCTCCCAACCAAACGTGGCCCTTTTTTTCCCACCATAATAATGTTAAAAAACTCCAAATAACTTCAAATTTATGGTAGGTGTCTGATTTTTCACAACATTTAACAAATCATAATAAACAACAAACTTGCATAACCTCACATTTTTTGATATTTGACAGTATTCTACTTTTTTACGTTTTCTACCGTCGAAAACGTCGAAAAAGGTTTTCTACATGTCGAAAACAAAAATGTAGGTAGATACCCAACCCTGATCAGAGGGGAGCAACTCGTGAGGTCTAAACCGACCGAAAATTTACATTTCATTTAAGAAAAATGTGAACCAAACCTTATTTGAAGTGCGACGTTGCCACACATTTTAGACCCACCGCGCTTTTAAATTTTAGACCCATCGAGTTTAGATCTCTCGTGTTTGGGTGTCACGAGCTGCTCCCGTTTATGAGTACCTAACTAAAAACAAAAAGGTATTGGGTAAAAACCTGTAAAGCTGACATTATTGCAACAGGGATACCAAATTAAAAGTTGTATACTTAAGTGACAGTTGCTTATAATCTGTGTGTTTGTGGCACAAAACTAGAAGGTTTTGTGGTTTGTGGTTGTCAACCTTAAAGAAATGTCAACAAAAACCTTTTCGTAAACAATGGTAAAATTGGATTTGGAAAAAGTGTGTCGAACATGTTGCAAGGAAGATTTGGATGCCTCATTAATCGAAACGAGTCGTATAAACATAGAGGAATGTTCCGTTTTGGTTAGTGATATAATAACCTTAATTTTTGATTTGAAGGTAACAAACTAAAAGTTTAATAACTTAAAATTCATTAATTTTATTGCAGAAATCGCCGGAGTACCCTAAACATATATGCAAAGAGTGCGTAGGAAAAGTTACAGAAATATATAAATTTAAAGTTCAGTGTGAAAATGCTGAAAATCAGTTACAAGAGTATTTACATGATATCAATTATGTACCAGATTATATGATTAATATTAAATTGGAAGAAGATACTTCGAGCAACATAAATGATGATAAAAGCTTTAGTGATACAGATAATATAGAAAATGAAGAAAAATTCGAGGTAAAAAAACCTAAAGTAAAGAAGAAGAAAAAAAAGGTCATCAAAGATGAAGATGATGATGATAACATAGCTTTAAGTGAACTAATTAAAAAAGAAGATAATAAAAAATCATGTTCAAAAAAAAAAGTCAAAGTAAACCTGGAAGATGATATGGTTGAGGCAGAGTCACATTTTTGTGTGAAATGTAACAAAACATTTAAAAACAAGTACATTTTAACCGTTCATGAGAAAAGGCATCTTTACAAAGGTCAATTTTTGTGCACCACATGTGGTAAGGGATTCAACTCTAAAGGATGTCTAAATCGACATGCCAGAGTCCATACAGGTGAAAAAAAATACAAATGTGAAGTTTGTGATAAAATGTTCCCATCGTCGAATAATCTGAAACTGCATTCGAGAATTCACAGTGGAATTAAGCCTTACTTGTGCACAATGTGTGGAAAGTCTTTCAGCCACCCTACAGGTTTAACATATCACTTTCGAACTCACACCAAGGAAAAACCCTACACCTGCGAAATTTGCGGGAAATCTTTTGCAATACAGTGCCATGTGGACAGGCATAGAAAAATTCATACAGGTAATACTTACTAATAATATAATACAGGGTGTTATGTAATTAATGTAGTAATATATTAAAATGGGTAGTGCCTTAGGTTCCATAAACAAGCACCTAAAACTTTTTTTTCTAAATTCTAAAGACTAAAAATAATTTATAATAACCTTTATCCTACCAAAAAGTACGCCACTGATCGACTAGAAATTTTAGGCTAATCTGGTTGCCTAATTTAATTTATGTTATGGTTGGTAACAACCAGAGTTTTCAGATTCTGTCAAAAAAGTTGCCAAATTTTGTTTAAATTTTGCTTAATTACAAAAATGACAAAATCAACAATGCAAATTGTTAATTTGGCGTTTTTATTAATTGTTTAATATGTCATTTTTGTAATGAAGGTAAATTCAAACAAAATCTGTCAACTTTTATGACAGAATCTAGTGAGTTTCTTTCAAATTTTTGGTTATGTGCTCAAATTGTAAATATCTTAACCTGTAAACTTGTCCTAATTTCATCTGAGTAGGTAAACAGAAAGAAAAAACCGATAAAAAATTAATTTTGTGGTTATGGAGTTTTTAAAATAGGTGCTAAATTTTCTTTCATTGCTTAAGCTAATAGCTGGATGAGTAAATAAACAAGAAGGGTAGGTATTATATTAGAGCTTTAAGGGCATACAACTTTTGTATTTATTTAGTTTTTATTTATTTTTTGCAACAAAAAATTTTAGTAATAATTTTTTACAAATGTCAACTTTGTGGCTTGGTATCTATGTACTCACAGAACACAAGTGTGTAACCAGTGGCGTATCACAAAAAATATAAAAAACTTCTAATGCATATTTGTTTTTTCTTTATCTTTGGGAAAATATTTCTTAAAATATTTTAATATTTTACATTAATTAGATAACACCCTGCCTAAATGCAGGCAGCCTTACACCTGAATGAATTTTAATCTATAGGGGCATGTGAATGGGTGTTTTATTTAAAGAGCTGCAAGGTCAGTTAAATTATACAAAAGTTGCATCTATTAAAATGGCATTTAAAAACTGGGGGGGAAATCAGCGGTTTTCTAATAATTTAAAAAAAAATTAAAAAACAGTCAAAACCAAAAATAACTTTGTTATTCCTAGAAATTTTGAAAAAAGCAAGTTTTACTTGTAAACTTCCATTTTTTTTCGCCTGCTAAAAGATACCACCGCTATATTTTGTTTTTCCTATGGCCGCCATATTGGAATTTTACATAGATAGTGAGGGTAACTGAAAACATAAAGTTCATTTTTTTTATCTGGACTGCGGCAACGTTGCAAATTTAGGGGTTTGGTTGGTAAATACGGAACCAAAATTGGTTGCATTAAAACAAACTAAGTATGCTTTATTTGTCAAAATAGTTGTCAGTCAAAATTTATTGTATTCTAATACAAATTAATATTTTGGAAAAGGCAATGAAATAAAAATAAAGAGAGGTACTTTTTGAAAAAGTAAATAAGAAAATGTATACATTTATGGAATGGAATGGATTAGTTGGATGGAAACAAATTTTATAGACTAGCGGTACCAGTTAAGAACTGTTTTGTTGGCTATAAAAAGTTATGTAAAATATAAATAAAATAAAAAAATAAAAATAAACTATAGTTCTTCTTCTTCTTCGTAGATGAGTAAAATCATATAAAAAAGTAGTTAAATATAGGTGACTACGGCCCAGGAGAGACAAAGTATTCCTAGCGGATAATAATCTTCGCTTTGAGAAGAACTTATATATAAAAGAAATTAAAATGTTATGTTTTTTGTTTTTTTATTTTCCATTATATTTTATGTTTCAAAAATTTTTGATCTGCTTAGCTTAAAATAATGTGTGATTTAATATTTGTAAAACCAAAAACGTTACTTTTTTACTCCAAAAATGTACGTAAGGCGATGTACTTTTTCTGCCATTAAGGCCTTTGGCATAACTTCATCGAAATTAAGTTTTGCCCTTAAAAGTTCTTTTACTTTAGAATCTGATATTATTTTTAGCATAGTTCTCTTTTTATATCAATATTATATAATAATTAACAAGTTAATTATTAATAATAAATATTACTGTCAATTTGACTATTTAGGTAATTAAGGTCTTCAGCATAGGCACCATTTTTTAAATACTAAAAATACTAAATCAAACTGGCACAAGCAACCAACTTAATAAAAAACACGAGTCCAAATAAAAAAACTGTAGTATTACCAAAGAAGGGTTTTAAGTTTTTTTTTAATATTTTGAGAACCGGCTTTTCTTCAAAATAATAAATTTCATGTTAATATAAATGTAATTACGCAATTTTTCTCTAATTTAACCAAGCTTGTACTCTTTAAATAAAAAAAATGTATAGAAGTACACAGAAGGATACTTCCCAGCAAACACAACAATAAAGGTTCTTTAATGGCCCTTTATAAACGTGCCTTTAATGAACTGAAGGCCCTATAAATGCCAACTTTAATGGAACTTTACATATTTTGTCGCGTTCACCTTTAATGGGCATTTAACGGCAGTCAATAAAGGCACTTTCATTTTTTGAAATGGCACTCTAAATTTTCTGATATGGCAGATTAAAGGTACAAATGTGGCAAGCTAGTGGTTATTTAAATATTTTTGTATGGATAAGTTAAGTATCTATTATGGTGGAGTAAATGTGGAAGATATTTATTAGATAAGGAAATTCCACGATAATCAGAAATTGTTATACCTACCGTCACAATAGCCAATAAATATAAACACACCACATTTAATTCACCATAATAAATACTTTCCTTATCCATTAAATTAATTGATATATCTATTATCGTGAAATATAATACCAAAACATTAATGAATTTCCAAGGAAAAATACAAAGCAATGCATTATTTTTTTGTGGTATAACACTATTAAAACTATAGGAAATACACTGGGCGTCATTTTTAAAACCAAAGGATAATTAATGGTTATGTTAGTTTTATATACAGAAAACATTTGGCACCAATGTTTTTTTAAAGTCCCAGTAACTTGATACTGAAAATTGCCATATTTATAGTAAAATACAAAAATATTAGCCTGAAAAAGGCCATTGCACGACTTTATCACGACAGCCTTTTATCAAAATTAATATTTCTATTAAAACATTCCTGTAAAGTACAAGTACAGTACAAGAAAAGCTTTGGCTAAAAATGCCATTATTAAGCCATGACACTATGTAATGGGCCATTAAATAATCAGAATTGTGTTTGCTAGGTTGGTGCACCTTGTATAATACATATATAATCATGACTATATCATCTTGTTTCTACTCAAAATTGACAACGTAAAAGAGATTGTAGGTCAAGATACTTTTTTGAATAAATATTTTGATTGAGTGAATTTAGCCAAAAATGTTGAGAGGCTTTTTTTGTAAAGCATTTGATTTCCCATAAGAATATTTATCGCTTTTTTTATGGGTACCTACTGATTTTTACATGAATTACAAAATTCCAATTTAAAAGATCAAAATGTAAAACTATACCAATATTTAAGGCATCATTTTAAGGAAACGGTTCATCTGCCGGAAAATTTCACTTTAACCTTTTTTGTAGAGCATTTAATTTTCTTAAAAAAATATTTTTAAGTAATTTTATTAAACTCAATGGTTTGGGAGTTCCGAGACAAAAACTTGCTGAGGAAAAAAAAATTAAAATTGCGATGATAGACCTCTTATATTAATATTATGGACTCGAACTTTCACAATAATTTTTTTTGTCACCCCAAACCATATTTTCGATATACTTTTTAAAAAAAAAAATAGTTGATTTTTTTGGCCCAGTCTGGTATACAATCCATGTTAATTATCCAATTTTTAATTTAATTTATCTCGGGTTATAGACGGTCAATCGAGTTCAAATTTTAAGGATAATTGTATTGTCATGTCCTTAATAAGTATACAAAAATTTAAAATTTTCTGATGGTATGCCTACAGCACAACTACCTTAAATGAAGTTTAAAATCTGCAATGTCACAACTAGTGTTGCAAACAAGGAAAAGTTCGGTCGAAAAGTTGGAAAAGTTGTTGGAAAAGTTATTAGGTGGGAGCCAATGAACAATGAGTTGACTTCTAACCAGTGTTCCCACTACCATAAATTTTTTTTGGTAGATAATTTGGTCAAAATTCGATATAAATCGCTAGATTTGAAGTGTTTTTAGTAAAACATGCTAAAAGCATTGTTTTTTACAAAAAAATAACATTTTGTCAAACTTTATCAAAAATGGTGTCTGCTAACAGCATTTTCTATTATATAAAGATTCTTTTATTATAACGTATTTTTTAATTTATACACAGTATGAAAAAAATATTATTTTTTTTTAATTATGGAAATTTGCAAGTGAAAATATAAAAGTGGAAAAGAAGAAAGTTTTCTTTTCTTTTTCTTTTTAAATTTTTACTTGTAAATTTCCATAATTTTTAACAACAATAAATTTAATAATTTTTGCTTCATATTTTTTTGTAATTATTTTTTATTTCGTAAGTGTTTTTTTATGGTGTGTATATATTTCTATTCTTTTTTACTTAAAAAATATGATTTTTTTAAATTCAAACCTAGTTTATTTTTGTTGTTATTATGTTGCCTGTTCATTAAAAAAAATCATATTTTTTAAGTAAAAAAGAATAGAAATATATACACACCATAAAAAACACATACGAAATAAAAAATAATTACAAAAAAATATGAAGCAAAAATTATTAAATTTATTGTTGTTAAAAATAATGGAACAGTGTTCATTTTATTTTGTTTGATATTTTTTTTTGTTATTTTGTTACGTATGTATAAATACATAAGAAATAAATTATTTTAATACATTGACAAGCATTATTTATGTTTTATACGTTTACATTACAAAAAACTCAACTTTTCCATCTCTTCCGAACTTTTCCGAAAAATAAAACCCAACTTTTCAAAAATTTCAACTTTTCATGAAAAGTTGCAACCCTATCCCAAGCAGCATTTTTGGTTCCAAAAACCATTGCCAAAGTGGTGATAACTTTAAATTAGTTAAGTATACTAAACAGCTACTTTAATTTTTACTTAAAAGTAATTCTAACTTTTAAATAGCAATATTTTGTAACAGAAACTTAATTTTTCCTTAAATTGTTACTATAAAGTAATAAACATTTAAGTAAAACTTGGTTGCCCCCAAGAAGACTTTGCAACTTTAAAAAAGATGTTATAAGTAAAAAAACTTTCAAGTAAATTTAATTTGTAGCAGTTACTTTCGGTTGCTACCTAAAGATTACATTATAATTATTTTTACTTTGTAGTCCCTTTGCAAGTTAAAATCTCGAAACTGGAACATGAGTTAAAAACTACAAAGTTAATAACTTAAAAGTTATTATTTTAGTATTTGGAACGTTTATGGTACTAACCAAAACAACCGTAAAGTGGAAAAAAACTTTAAAGTAGCGAAAACTACTTCAAAGGAAAATGCTTCTTATCGGCCATTTTTTACTGTACAGTACCACGTGGTAATGTAAATAATAAATTATTTTAATTGTTTGTAAATGGTTGTTTACTTTTTAATAAATAGAAATATTGTTGGTAATAGACGGTATTAATAATTAAATAAAAAAAATAATAATAAATATTAAGATTTTTTTATTTATAAACATTACTAAATAAATAATTTGTTTATACTTAAATATTGATGAAGCGCATTTATTTTACAAAAACTAAATTCATAAGTTCAACAGTAAAATTTAAAGGGTTTATAAATCTACCTGTCTAATTAAATATTATATTGTTATTCTGGAAGTTATAAACTACCAGTACATATTTAATAAACGACGACATTGAAAAGCCAAGTCCGTAGTGGTTCCATTTAAAAAAGGAGGGATAGTATAATCTAATATAATTTGACAAAGACAGTTAATATAAAAGTAAAAAGACAGTTAATATAAAAGTAAAAACAAATAATAAAAGTAATTATAACGCTCTAGCAACGATATTGGAACGTTCTAGTAACGTAGCAGCTACGTCCCAAATAGTAGCAGGGTTGGTAGCTAGTGACATATTTGCTACCTTTTTGGAACTCAATAATTGTTCCCCACTTTAGTCGTAACGTAGTAATGAAAGAGTAATATAAAGAGACCGGCGACTGTCGCAAAACACTTTGAAGTTTCTTCAATAGTCCCATATACGTAACAAATACTTAAATTGTTGCTTGGACTATAGTCACAACTGAATTATTTTAGGTGAAAGGCCGTTTCCGTGCAGTCAATGCGACAAGGCGTTCATCAAAAAAATCGACTTGCAACGGCACGAAGACGTGCACAAGGGCATCAAGCCTTACGTTTGCTCGGTATGTTCGAAGTCGTTCCTCAGGAAGATGCACCTCAACTACCACATGATGGTGCACACTGAAGAAAGGCCGCACAAGTGTCCGGTTTGCGGGAAAGGATTCATCCGTAGGTACTACTTGAAAGATCACATCATTAAACATCATGGTCCCATTGAAAATTTCAAGATGGACCATGATTCTGATTAAACGTTAATATTTACTTAAACACATTTGTTTAAATGGTGATTTGTTATATCTGTAAAGTTTTATAGTTTTTTTAACCCCCTATGAAAATATTTTAATTTTAATGCGTTTCTGTAAAAATACAAAATTAAGTTTAAAATATTAATACAAGATATGATTTTTTTAATTGTGAAAAATGTATTATCAAGTATAACAAGTTACTAAATTTACTGGGTTTGTACAATATTTATTTAAATTTTGTATAAAACTCAAATTCTTGTGAATAAATTTATAAATATATTTATTTTTAAGAAACTAAATTGTTAAATATTATTTTATTATAATGGTATTGCAATCTTGAAGCCCCCTCTTCCAGATCACCCTTTCTAATAAAATTAAAAAAATAAAAGGCAATTATTTTAGTAACAATTATATTTATGTAAACCTATGTAGGTATAATAACTTATATTATAGGTACTGGTAACTTGGTGTCTCCAACATTGCCTGAAATTAAAAACATAAAAAATATTATTTTATATATACATTATTATGGTGTATAATAGACCATAATAATATCGATGACTTTCTGCCAAAGTATCGCAAGCAACATAACTCAAATTTCGGGAATTGAAAACATTTTTTGTTTTAAAGTCTGTTTTAAACCGTATATAACCTATAGGTTTTATAACAAGTAAATAGCTATAATTATAAGCTAAGTAATTACTTATTATAAAACCTTAAGGTTTTATTTAATTTAAAACAGACAAGCAAAATGTTTTCAATTCCCGAAATTTGGGTTATGTTGCTTGCGATACTTTGGCAATCATCGATATAATAATAATTATGGTATGTTATAACTAGGGATGGGATTTTAGTTATTTTACCTTTTTTCAACCGATGTAACTATTTGAAAACCAATAATGCCAAAATGTGTTTTAAAAGATTTTCTTTTATATGAACCTAACTTGTTTTCACCTTTTTTACCTTTTTTGGAGGTTTTTGCTTTAAACTACCTTTTTTATACTTTTCTTACCTATTTTTTAACTAGTTTTCACCTTTTTTACCTTTTTTGTAGGTTTTTGCTTTAAACTACCTTTTTATACTTTTGTTACATATTTTTTAATTTGTCGTTTTATTTTCACATATTTGTTATCTATTTTTACGTAATTTTACTTATTTTATTTTTTTGTGTTCTTTTTAAATTTTCCGCCAATATTTTATCCAGGGCGTGCAACTCAACGGTATAGAATTTTTTCTTATGGTCACAGCATAGAAATTATTCTATTATTCTAAATTATTTCTATGGGTCACAGACTGTAACAGTAACTTTCTTTACAGTTTTTCTTTGTATTGAGCTTATGTTCTGTCATAGAATTTCTGTGTAGTGAGTGTCACTCAGTGAAACACAGTTTATTGCATAGAAATAGTTTATTGTGGGTATGTTCTGTGTTTGGGTATGCGGCTAAACAAAATTATAAAAGAAACTTGAACATTTAATGTTTTTTTTACCTAAAATGCTGTTTTTTTAACCTAAAATGCTTTTTTTAGTACCTTTTTAGTTACCTATTTTTCAGTTTTTAGTACCTAAATATCCCATCCCTAGTTATAACATGCAACAATATACAGTTCATTTTTTTTATCTGGACTCGTGTTTTTTTGTTAGGTTGGTGGCTTATGCCAGTTTGAGTTTGTTTTTTTAGTATTTAAAAATGGTACTTCTGCTAAAAAATTTAATTAAATACTTTGACACTGTCAAATTGACAATATTTATTATTGATAATTTACTTGTCAATTATAAATAAAAAGATAATTATGCCAAAAATAATAGTAACGAATTCGAATGTAAAAGCCCTTTTGAGGGCAAAACTTCATTTTGATGAAATTATGCCAAATGCCACAATGGAAGAAAAAATACATCGCCTTATGGACATTTGTGGAGTAAAAACGAATTTGGTTTTATAAATATTACATCACACATTATTTTCACATTATTCACCATTGGACAACATTTACGTTCACAAAAAATTTTAATTTCTTTTATGAGTATGAGTATGAGTATGGGAACGTATGGCAGGCCCCAGATATATTGTCATCCACTAATCTCCCGGGGTTATTTTACCCCCTTTCCGTTCTCCTGCGTATCCCGCCAAATCACAGCATTACCTGTGTTTGTTGGATGCGAAGTTTTTACGCCGGCTGGTAGTTCCACCCTAGGAGGTTGTGTATGACAGTGTCAAAGGTTAAGGCCGCTCCCGGAATTTTTGTCACCCGGGTCGGGCCATACGTCCAGTTTAGGAAGGGTTTTTGGAGGACATTGAACTGACCCAAAACTAAGTACAATCCGGAATCCTCCTCAACCTAGGCCTTAGGAGTAACCCCATTCAATTGGTATTCGTGAATGGGGGTGGGTATGTTAGTTCTTTGCTTACTCCGGCTACCAACCTTGTATACTCTTTATTTATTTTATTGCTAAATTAGTGTTTATACCGTTTTCATTTAATTTATATCTTTGCATTCTTACTTTTTTTCCAAATTAAATTTAAAAATATAAATATTAATATACAAAATCGATAAAGCCGGCCCTGTAGTGTATGTGGTGGAATGCCACCATATTGGCTATTGGTCGTTCTTCTTTCTTCTGTGCTGTTCTTGTATTTTTGAGCCGGGGTGTTAGTACGCTGCTAGAACCTGTCCTTGTTGGTGAACTATTTATTTTGTTGTTAAATTAGTGTTTATACCGTTTATTATTATTTAATTTGTGTCTTTGCGTTCTTACTTTTTTTTCCAAATTTAATTTAAAACCAAATTAATACAAATAATAAAGCCGGCCCTGTGGTGCATCGCATTAAAATCTGAAATACGGCCCAGTGTCAGACGTGTAACGTATGCTTCAATAGATGGTTTATTTACGTTATTGCGTGGGTGCTTTGTTTATTTACCTTCGCCATCCTTCAAGCTTTACCTTGTGGCTGAGCTGCAAGATGCGTATATTATACAATATATATAATACAATAATATAATATTGCGACATTCCTGCTTGATCCCCTTTTCACACACGTACGCTGTTTTCGGCAATGGTTAATTGTTGACAGGTTTTTTTTTTACAGATTTGCGTATTAGGTCATGCAATAATACTTATCAGAGTCGGCTGGTGATGGTGATGATCCCTTTCGCTCTTTGTAGACTTGTTTTTTCTTTAAATAGGTGATTCCTTGACCTGTCCCTTGTCACTTTATTCCTTCGTGTCCGCACGAACCTCACTCCTATGTTAACCGTTGAGAGATTGCCTTTTGAGGAATTATTTAATGTTTCTATTAACCCCTCGGAGAACAGGTACCCTGATTTCACCTGTACAGGTATGTATACATACTATAGTAACCCAAAATAGTAGCACTGTTTCGCACCGTACTTTACTCGACTACACTGTTTATAATAGTTATGTTTCTTTAAGAATTTTATTGTGGATCGTCACTGAGCGCTCGAACTACACATCCACTCGCTTCGCCTTAACCTTTGACACTGAAAAATTTTAATTTCTTTTATATAAATTTTTTTCAAAGCGAAGATTATTATCCGCTAGGAATACTTTCTCTTCTGGGCCGTAAAGCAACCTATATTTAACTACTTTTTTATATCATTTTACTCATCCAAGCACCACCAAAGCCAAATTAATTGCATGTTTAACTACGAATTTCGACAACTCAACATGACAACTGCACAATGTAACCTACAATAATTTATACATAACCACAATTTGATTTATAACTAGCTTATAGTCACGGCCAAATCTATATGGGTGCACGTCACCAATGAGATATAATGACGTCATCATTACCAACTTTGAATTGTAAAGTTAATGCCGTAAAATTTGCTTTTTTAAGGCGTAATTCTGATGTGTTATTAAAAAGAAATCATTCATTTGCGTATTGTTTACCAAGAACTGTAACAATTTCCTTGTTTTAAAACGTTTTTTCACGAAATTATCAAAATAAAACCATCCACTTAGTAATTTTTGTGTGTGCCAGTTGGTAATAGCTTAAGGCTGGCGCGCACCGTTCAATATTATTGATGGGTCGCTGTCATTTTACATTTGACGTATTTTTGTAATTGTGACATTTCGTCCGGAAGCATCGTTTGTTGCAAATTATTATAAATAATATTATACATTATGTTTATAAGATTCAATCCCTGGATTGTTGGCAACTAGCCGTTATTAGATTTCGAAGACATTGCGCCCTTAATAATAAATTTGGGGAAATAATCAGACTTCAATTCTGACCTGGTTTGCTCTGATGACAAGGGCGACTGGTAATTTATTATTTTTGTGGGTCTGATAATTTAGTATTTTTTTGTTATGTGTATATGTAATAAAAATGTAATAAACTCCGTTTGTTTTCTCTTTAAACACATTTAATAAAAATTTGCCTGTAACAAACTCCTAATTAGTTAGTGGAGAAGATTATAGCAAGGACGTTATAATTCCATCTTAATAACAGCCCCCACCGCTATAAACAGTCAACAATACACGAGCGTTAGATTGTGTCTGGGCACGTATGAATAGACCTTAACGCTGACGTCATTTGCCGTTGATGACGTGCACCCATACAGATTTGGCAGCGACTATACAGTGTATTTTTTGAATGTGTGTGATTGCGTCATCAATTGCTGAACCAAACAAAGACATTAAAATGTGTAGCTGTCTTTTTTTTTCTTTGTAAAAGTTCATCTGAAATTCTAAAACGTATCGGGATCCGCTAAACCAGCAGATGGCGACACAAATAAACGTAATTTACGACAAACGTGAATCCGATGTCGCGCTCACGCGGCTTGTGCTGAAAAAGGACAGAGTGCGTATAGTTTGTTGTGGCATTGAGCCGAAATTTATCAAAATTTGAAGGTTAGTCAGTGGCGTTCATACAGTAATTTGGCATTAAGAACAGATTTTGGAAGTTTGACAGGTTTTAAAAAATGCCTTGCAAACGTTTGGACGATAATCAAAAACGTTTTATTATTAATTTAGTTCAATATTTTTTAAAGGGAACTTGAGCATGGGGGTCCCCTGCTCCCACTAAACTGTGTCCAAGAGGTAAGCTATGTTAGGCTTGTTTCTACTGAGCATATTTAGTAAACATTGTTTACTTTAGGGTCAAAGACATGTACTTTAGGGTCAAAGACATGTGCAATAGTAAAATCGCATGCGCAATATGAAAATATAACCGCTATTTCACTACAGCGCATGTCTCTGACCTCCATCCGAGAATCCAAATGCTCGGTGGGAATAGTTTAGCAATGGACCAAAAACAACTTCCGATTGCAGCGTGTGGCGAATGCCTTTGGCATTTCGGTTAATACAGTGGGCAATGCTTTTGCGGAAAGCACAAGCATTAGACGAGGCCCCAGCCCACGGGGACATGAACGGTGAATTATTCGAAAGGTGGGTAGCTAAAAAGTTGGTGCCAAATTTGAAGGAACCTTCACTGATTGTGATGGACAACGCTCCTTACCACAGCGTCGTTGTTGAGCGTCACCCTACAAGTGCTTGGAAAAAACAGCAAATAGAAGAGTGGCTAACAGAACATAATGTTCAGTTTATCAAAGGTATATTTAAAGCGGAATTGCTGTTCCTGGCACGCTACCACACCCCTCCTAAGCGTTACAAAGTTGATGAGTACCTCCAGCAGCATGGGCATGAGGTTTTGCGTCTGCCTCCATATCACTGCCAGTTCAATGCCATTGAACTTATATGGGCGCAGGTACATACATAAACAATCAGATGGGCGCTTGCAACAACGAATTCTGTTTTAGGCTAAAACATATTATGATTCCCACATGGGGGAAGACGGCTATGGCGACAATAAAGTGCTAGCAATGTGGGGCCAAGCACTGAACCAATTCACGCCAGAACGTTGGTGAGGCACACCAACAAATTAATTGACGATTGGTTCCAAAAGACAAGAATGGTCGATGACGTGCCAGAACTAGTTATCCACCTCGGAGAAGACAGTTCCGACGAGGATGACTTTTAGTAATTTTGTTTTCATTCTCCTATAACATTTTATTTTATTAATTAATGTTTTGTCTTAATTAACTTATAATATAATATATGTATGTACATAATATTATGTACAAAAATTTGTTTATGTTTATTGGTATTCTTTTATAAAACTTGCATAATTCACATTAATAAAGTTAAAATAAATGCGAACAAATAATTAGAATTGTTGTTTAATTGGGTGTAAACTGAGTTGCGTAACTATGAGGCGACATTAGGCAACCAAAAATAAACCCACAATAAATACTTAGACCCCTTCAAAATGATACGCTACTGACTCTAAATTTAGTTTCGATTTAATTCATACGACCCAATTGATGACGCAATCACACACATTCAAAAAATACACTGTAGTTTGTTTTAATCAATGCGACAAACTTGACAACCATTTACCAACCAAAACCCTAAATTTGCAACGTTGCCGCAGTCCAGATAAAAAAAAGAACTTTAGAAGGCATATTTTTGTAGAAAAATTTAAGCTAAATAATATCGAAGGTCAATGTTGAAATAAATAAATATATTTTTTCTACCCCACCTTTAAAACGCCCTATTATCTACTCCCAGAATGACCAGCTGCGACTTTAAGGGGTTTTAGTCGCGGTCTGAAGTTAGAAATAGTGGCTTTTGGGCATTTTAGTCATGGGCTGAAGTTGGCTTTATTAAAAATTGTGAAAAAGCTCATTCACATCCACTTAATAAGCGTAACTGAACTTAAGAAACCACAAAGAACGTAATATACAAGCCCGCGCAATGTATACATCGATGTAGACTGGGTTGCCTATCTATCTATAAAAGTGAAACAATAAGATAGCCCTATATCGTTTTACTGGGCATATGATTGGCTCACGTAAGAAACGTATTCCCTTAAGTTGAGCCGGACCCAACTTTTGAATACGTTAAGTTACGTGTGATAAGTTTTCTACGAATGTAAACAGCTGCATTGGTTTCAATGTATTTCAACGTACGTCTCTCAAGTAAGTTAAGTTAAGTTACGCTTATTAAGTGGATGCGAATGAGCTTTAAAGCAGTGTTGCAACCAATTTTTTCGGTGGACAACTTGGTAAAAATTCGGTAGAACTCGGTTTGTGTTAAATTAATAAATATAAAATGGAAAATAAAAAATATACTTAATAATAAATAATAAAGTACTTAAAAATAAAGAAAACAAAGAAAAAATTAAGTTTAAACAAAAATTATTAAAAATAATTAAAACAGTATTTAGAACTAAAAAATATGCATTTACTCTAGCTAAGATTTTTAGCTGTAAATAAAAAAAAAATGATTAAAATATCAATTTATCTAAGAATGCATGTATTAGTTACCTTTAATGCTGTCCTCTATTTTTTATTTTTGCAGATACATCAGTAATTATTTTTATATTTTTTGGTGTACTTTTGAGCGTCTATGTTTAAAAAGAGCATCTTTACCACTATTAATATTAATTTCTTTGTAACAACTTTAAATTTATTCGCACAATTATATTTCCCCTTTTTTTCTTGATTAAAATTATTTAATTAATATGTACCGAATAATACAAATCTGTGGAAAATAAGGTAGATTGACTGCCAAATCCATAGATCTACCGAAAAATCGGTAGACGTGGCAACACTGGGTTAAAGTCTTCAGATTAGCATAAATATAATAAAATGTGGGACCAATTCGCACATTAGGATAAATTTAAAAAATAGTACGAAAAATTCGCATACTAGTTTAAAATTAAAATATAGTCGAAAAAATTCGCAAACTGGTATTATAGTAGGACCTATACTTTAGGTAAATTTAAAGTTTCCAAATTTTCTTTGTTTTACAAAAAGTAATTAACATATTATTTATGCTTATTTTCACTCATATTTTAGCCTGCATATAATCCTGCCCTTATTTATTACCTACACCCAAAATTTTAAATAAAATATTTAGCTTAATTTTTAATAATAAACAACTGATTATAATTACATTTTTTAATATTGTCCTCGAGAATATCATCTTCATTGGATCTCTTAACACCTGTTGCCACATTTCCTACAAGAACTTCTTCGTCCAACTCTATAGTGACCCTCATCATTTCCTTTAATGAACTTACTGTCCTCACTCTATGCAGGTCTTTTATTTTATCAAATCCCAAATTTTCTATCACCAAATTCCTTGCAATTTCATTATAATTTTCACCTTTAGCAAAACAATACACAAATAATGTTACTGGTTTAAATGAACCTTTAACAAAATCAGAATTTTTTAATAATCCTACAAAATTATTTAGGAAAGTAACCGCCATTGCTGGTAAGTTCATGGTTATAAAAACCTTGTGTGTTGTTAAATATTTAGGTAAGTATTCCTTAATTTCTTCCAAAATAAACATTTTGGCATCTTTATTGTATGTTTTAAAGCAGTCGGTTTTAATCTTATTTAATTTAAAATTATGGTTCATCCATTTATATGACTCTGGATTCAAATCATTTGCATGCACAATACAACTTTTTTTGGCCAATGGTACAGAAAATGGCCCCACCCCAGCACACACATCAAATAAAACATCGTTGGAATTAAGTTTTTTAACAATACATTCATGTTCAGAACTTAATCTGGAGTTCCAGTAAACAGCAGAAAAATCAAACTGAAAAGTACACTTATTTTCTTTCAGTGTTACCATCATATCATCCTCTCCTTCAAGTATTTCCATTTGGAAATTTCTATATGTGTTGTCAATCATGTTGGTTTTATTTACTACAGTTTTACAACCTGGTATTTTATCAAACAAAACTTTACCTATCAGCTTTTTAAATGGTAGTAAATGTTCTCGTAGGTTTACATGCAGAATATGTCCTATTTTTGTAAAACTAGCCATACCTTCTTTGTTTTTAGGCAAAACCGCTCTAAAAACTTGTTCGGCTGAGAAGTTTTCATAATTTAAAGTAAAATTTGTTAAGATTATGTCCTTTTTTCCCAATCCAAACTTATTCAGTTCATTTTCAAGATTTTCCGAATCTACTCTATTAGGATTTAAATATATTTGAGTCCCACTTTCATCAGATTTTATAGGTTTAAAATTCTCAACTTTTAACAACTCAGGTTTCACCAACTTAATTATGTTGGACAATTTAACATCCTTAACATGTAAAACTGGTATCGACACGTTTTTCTTGAAGCACTCTTCCGATAACTCCAACATTCCTCGTACGGAGTCAGGCGGATTTAAATTCACTATTTCGTTCATATTTTCTTTTTGTAGCTTAACCGTTCTTAAACTTTGAAAAGGTATTGGTTTTAAGCCATGTCGGATATTTTTCAAAACAATATACATTTGACAGACCGTCAACGGGCCATTGTTACCAACTTTGATGGAAAGAAATATGGCAACGTTGCAGGTGGTAGTTCAAATTAACAGGTTTGTTCCACAATTTTGTGTTTATAGTTCTTGATGTTTTTATAAAAGGGACTGTCTACAGTTCCTACCAGTAGGAACTTAAGTCTTCAAGACTAAAGTTCCTACTGGTCGGAACTGCAGCCACTGAGTCAAAAGTTACTACCAGTCGGAAATTCTGTTATGGACGCCAAAGTTACTACCACCTGTTTAGATTAGAAATGGCCTATTTGGGAAATAATGTTCAAATCTTTACTTGTTCTGCACAAAAAAACCATTTTATAAAAATCTTTGGAAAACTTATTTTATTACAATAATGTTTAATCATTAAGTAAAGTATTACTTAATGGTCTAATATTATATACAATGCGTTATAAATGAAAAATTGAATCAAACATATTTTTTCATTATTGTATAAAGAAGTTTTACTAATCTTATAAGAAAGAGTATTTCTATAATAACTATAGTTTTGGTATCTTTGCTAAAAGGCTTAAATTCAAAATATATATTTAACAACAAACATTTATTTAGTAAAAACAAAAATAAAATGTAACTTAAAATTAATGGTAAAACATAAAAAATATATCCTTTTTAACTATTTATAAATAAAATATTAAAGTATTTTGCGATTTAGGTAGGAAATCTAGAAATATATCTCTAGTTTTCTAAATATATTTATAAATATATATGTATATATATACAGGGTGTCTCACCAGCGATGATACCTTAGACGTTTACGGAGAACGGCTGAGGATATCAATTTGAAATTTTTATAGCAATTATTGTACAATTTAATCTACCTTTTAAAATTATTTTGAATAAAATTCCTCTTCCGGTTTAACCGGAAGCCACATCAACTTTGTTATTTCCAATGGAACACCCTGTAAATTTTTTTATTTTTAAATTCCTCATGAAATTCTTAATGAAATTGCTGTACCATTCCCTATACCTAAACTTAATAGTTTTCGAGTTAATAATTTTTTTCGTAAAATTTTGACAGTTGCACATTCATTAAAAATAGCTTATAACTTTTTTGATATTGGGTTTGCTGGTATGCTGTAAGGATTTTTGGAATCTTAAAACATTGTTAAAATCGTGTTAAATTTAGTTAACTTCAAACATTAATAACTTGTTTATTTTCAATGTTTTTACATAATCAAATAGGAAAATGAATTACATTTTGATTGTTATAACCATTCCCTATACTTAAATAGTAAGGTTTCGGAAATACAAGCAAATTTCTGTCAAAATTTTACGAAAAAAATTATTAACTCGAAAACTATTAAGTTAACTTAAGTTAAATTTAGGTATAGGAAATGGTACAGCCATTTCATTAAGAATTTAAAAATAAAAAAAATTACAAAAATAACAAAGTTGATGTCGCTTCCGGTTAAACCGGAAGAGGAATTTTATTTAAAATAATTTTAAAAGGTAGATTAAATTGTACAATAATTGCTATAAAATCTTCAAATTGATATCCTCAGCCGTTCTCCGTAAACCTCTAAGGATATATATATACCCTGCTGAAAAAAACTGATCGAAAATGGATCGAGTTTAAATCTCGATCCTTTTTGATCATTTTTGATAAGGATTTTGTCTCCTGTTTTCGTGATCAAAAAGGATCGAGTTTCGATCCTGTTTTCTGGATCAAATAGGATCGAGTTTCGATCCTTTTTGATCACGAAAACAGGATCGAAACTCGATCCTTTTTGATCACGAAAACAGGATCGAAGCTCGATCCTTTTTCGATCATTTTTCATAAGGTTTCCATAATTAATTCTAAAATAAAAGATTCAATTTACAAAACTTGAAAACTTTATTGGGCACTTTGTATTTCAAAAAAATCGGATGACGACGACGATGATGATGAAATTCGTAATTATAATAATAACAGTCATATATTTTATAAAATAATATTCACAACAATAATTCCGTGGTTTCGGGGAATAAGGGGATAAGTCATTTTTGAGTCTCTCTTTTCAGACTACTGTCATAAGGTAAGAGTATGAAAAGTTGTATATAATACTACTTTTACTTATTATGGAAACCTTATGAAAAATGATCGAAAAAGGATCGAGTTTCGATCCTGTTTTCGTGATCAAAAAGGATCGAGTTTCGATCCTGTTTTCATGATTAAATAGGATCGAGGTTCGATATCCTTTTTGATCACGAAAACAGGATTGAAACTCGATCCTTTTTCGATCATTTTTCATAAGGTTTCCATTATTAATTCTAAAATAAAAGATACAATTTACAAAACATGAAAAATTTATTGGACATTTTCGTTTTCAAAAATATCGGATGACGATGGTGATGAAATTTTTATCCTTTTTCTAAAACAAAAAAAAGTGTCCCTTTAGGGGAATATATTTATATTACTATTTTAATATTGTCTTTTTAACTTTTGCAAAATAATCTTGCAAATTTTCATTCATACCTTTTTTCCTTCGGCGACTTTTTTTTTTTTTTTTTTGTATTTTCGTTTTGCTTTAGCTCATATATTGTGGCGTACTTTTTTTCTTTATATTTTGATGTGGCCCCATTGCACGCCAATGTTGTATCAAATTTTAACAATTTTTATTTTCAAAAATAGGGCTTTCATATGAAAGGTATGTATACAAAATTATGATTAATTTTTATCATTTTCATAGAAGATATGACGAAAAAACGTTTTTTCTTTGTCAATTTATGTGTGATATTTTTCTGAATCAGGATAATGGGAGGAACATTTTCCCCTGGTAGGTTAAAACTGAATCACCCTGTATAACTATATAATGCAATAATCAAGACTAAAAATTAATTATTTACTTGCAAAAAAAGAAACAACGTATTTCTTGTTTCGAGAGAAAGTTTTTGCATCGAAATTTGAAATTTCCGACAGCAACACCCTTTTTTTGTGCCCCGTGTCGCAAAATTTAACAAAAGCACATGGTCCATCAGCGGTTAAATTAATTGACATCTTGCTATCTTGCTGTCTTTAAATTTACCTATAACAAATAAATTCATAGTAAAATTTGTATACATAACCTTACTTTTCAGGGGCCGAAAAAACAAAATTCATAAAAAATTGCCGCAACTCGGGAATCATAAGTTTTTTTTGTTTGATGGCAATCAGTACTTTTCATCGAATTTTTAATTATTATAGTAAAGAAAAACCCACAGTAAAACTGTAAAATCGATAACAAAAAACACTAACCAATATGACAAGCACGTGCACAGATTATGGACACATTAAAGACAGGGTTGCCAGATGATATTTTTTTATTTCCCCAGATTTTTTACAAAAAATCCCTAGATTGCCCTAGACAAGTATGTCAAGATTTTATTTTATTGGAACTTTTTTTAATTTAAATATATCGATGGCCTAGGCGCAATACCTCGTATCATTAATTAATCATCATAAGGTAGTGCATGAAAAGTAATACTACTTTTTCTTATAATAAGGAAATGTAATTATAATTACGAATTTCATCATCATCATCGTTGTCATCCGATCTTTTTGAAAGTGCCTAATAAAGTTTTCATGTTTTGAAAATTGTATCTTTTATTTTAGAATTAATTATGGAAACATTATGGAAAATGATCGAAAAAGGATCGAGTTTCGATCCTGTTTTCGTGATCAAAAAGGATCGAAACTCGATCCTATTTGATCATGAAAACAGGATCGAAACGATCCTTTTTGACCACGAAAACCTTATCAAAAATGTTCGAAAAAGGATCGAAACTTGATCGTGTTTTTATGATCAAATAGGATCGACTTCGAAATCTGATCGAGAATGATAAAAAAGGATCGAGAATTTCAAGAACCTAGTAGTCGATCATATTTGATCATGAAAACACGATCGAGTTTCGATAATATGTTATCAAAACTCAATCGTGTTTTCATGATCAAATAGGATCGACTTCGAAATCTGATCAAATATGATAAAAAAGGATCGAAACTCGATCGTGTTTTTATGATCAAATAGGATCGACTGCGAAATCTGATCGAAAATGATAAAAAAGGATTGAGAATTTCTAGAACCTCATTAAATATGATAAAAAAGGATCGAGAATTTTCTGGACCATGATAAAAAAAGATCGAGTTTCGATCAGTTTTTTTCAGCAGGGTATATATATATATATATATATACATGTGTTTCATAATATATGCGCAGGACTTCAGGATGTGATAGCTCATCCAAAAAGATGAAAAAAATCGCTATTAACTTACCCTCTAAAATGCACAATTTTCGAGAGTGTGTAAATTTTAGAAAAAAAATTGGTTTTTTCGAATATCTCTGGAACCATTTATCGTACAAAAAACAGCTTTTGTAAGCATTTTCTACTCATAATAAGCTATGTTTTGTGCCAGAAAACTTTTATTTTTACTTATAATTGGTGAAGATTTTGAAGGGGTAGCGGTTGTTTTTTTCCTCAACTTCTACGCCCCTGAAAAAAGTACGGTTTTGAGAGGCCCATTCCATCCGCCAATGTTTTCTACACAAAAAAGGTACTCTTTGTCATAAGCTCTAAAATTGACCGTTTTCAAGAAAAATCAACTTTTATGTTTAAAAACATGGTCAATTTTAAAAAAATTTTTTTTTACTAATTAAACAAAATTTATTTTAACGTTAGAACAAGTAACAAAACCAAACGATAATTGCAAAATTAAAAAAAAAATAATTCAAAAGTTAAATAAAATGTTGGAAATGTCCACCGTTATCTTCAATGCACGCAAAGACAACTTTTGAATTATTTTTTATTTTCTTTTATTTTGCAATTATCGTTTGGTTTTGTTACTTGTTCTAAGGTTACAGTATAGACAAAGAGCGGGAACCACAGAACACCAAGTTCCTACTGGTAGTAACTCTTGACCAGGTGGCTAAAGTTCCTACCAGTAGGAACTTTAGACTCGGCGACTAAAATTCCTACTGGTAGGAACTGTAGACAGTCCCTTTATAAAAAGTAAAGGGACTGTCTACAGTTCCTACCAGTAGGAACTTAAGTCTTCAAGACTAAAGTTCCTACTGGTCGGAACTGCAGCCACTGAGTCAAAAGTTACTACCAGTCGGAAATTCTGTTATGGACGCCAAAGTTACTACCACCTGTTTAGATTAGAAATGGCCTATTTGGGAAATAATGTTCAAATCTTTACTTGTTCTGCACAAAAAAACCATTTTATAAAAATCTTTGGAAAACTTATTTTATTACAATAATGTTTAATCATTAAGTAAAGTATTACTTAATGGTCTAATATTATATACAATTCGTTATAAATGAAAAATTGAATCAAACATATTTTTTCATTATTGTATAAAGAAGTTTTACTAATCTTATAAGAAAGAGTATTTCTATAATAACTATAGTTTTGGTATCTTTGCTAAAAGGCTTAAATTCAAAATATATATTTAACAACAAACATTTATTTAGTAAAAACAAAAATAAAATGTAACTTAAAATTAATGGTAAAACATAAAAAATATATTCTTTTTAACTATTTATAAATAAAATATTAAAGTATCTTGCGATTTAGGTAAGAAATCCAGAAATATATCTCTAGTTTTCTAAATATATTTATAAATATATATGTATATACATATATACAGGGTGTCTCACCAGCGATGGTACCTTAGACGTTTACGGAGAACGGCTGAGGATATCAATTTGAAATTTTTATAGCAATTATTGTACAATTTAATTTACCTTTTAAAATTATTTTGAATAAAATTCCTCTTCCGGTTTAACCGGAAGCGACATCAACTTTGTTATTTCCAATGGAACACCCTGTAAATTTTTTATTTTTAAATTCCTCATGAAATTCTTAATGAAATTGCTGTACCATTCCCTATACCTAAACTTAATAGTTTTCGAGTTAATAATTTTTAAAAATTTACAAGGTGTTCCATTGGAAATAACAAAGTTGATGTCGCTTCCGGTTAAACCGGAATAGGAATTTTATTTAAAATAATTTTAAAAGGTAGATTAAATTGTACAATAATTGCTATAAAATCTTCAAATTGATATCCTCAGCCGTTCTCCGTAAACCTCTAATGTACCATCGCTGGTGAGACACCCTGTATATATATATATATATATATATACATGTGTTTTATAATATATGCGCAGGACTTCAGGATGTGAGCTCATCCAAAAAGATGAAAAAAATCGCTATTAACTTACCCTCTAAAATGCACAATTTTCGAGGGTGTGTAAATTTTAGAAAAAAAAATTGTTTTTTTCGAATATCTCCGGAACCATTTATCGTACAAAAAACAGCTTTTGTAAGCATTTTCTACTCATAATAAGCTATGTTTTGTGCCAGAAAATTTTTATTTTTACTTATAATTGGTGGAGATTTTGAAGGGGTAGCGGGTGTTTTTTTCCTCCTTCTACGCCCCTGAAAAAAGTACAGTTTTGAGAGGCCCATTCCATCTGCCAATGTTTTCTACACAAAAAAGGTACTCTTTGTCACAAGCTCTAAAATTGACCGTTTTCAAGAAAAATCAACTTTTATGTTTAAAAACATGGTCAATTTAAAAAAAAAAAATTTTTTACTAATTAAACAAAATTTATTTTTACGTTAGAACAAGTAGCAAAACCAAACGATAATTGCAAAATTAAAAAAAAATAAAAAATAATTCAAAAGTTAAATAAAATGTTGGAAATGTCCACCGTTATCTTCAATGCACGCAAAGACAACTTTTGAATTATTTTTTATTTTTTTTTATTTTGCAATTATCCTTTGGTTTTGTTACTTGTTCTAAGGTTACAGTATAGACAAAGAGCGGGAACCACAGAACACCAAGTTCCTACTGGTAGTAACTCTTGACCAGGTGGCTAAAGTTCCTACCAGTAGGAACTTTAGACTCGGCGACTAAAATTCCTACTGGTAGGAACTGTAGACAGTCCCAAAAGTAAATGAAACCAGGAGTGTATTATACAACTATATTTCAATATTATTATTTCTTTATTGGGTTACATATACTGCAGACATAATGCGGCTCTGAAAAAAAATATAGACAAATTTTAAAGAATTTTAAGCATTTTTTAGGATGTCAAATGATTGTTCTAGTATTAATTCAGTGGGAAGATGAGGTTAGGAAATTATCCTTTTGTAGAAAAGTTTAATATAGTATTTTTTTAATTATGATAAGTAAAATCTTTTAAAATTTGTCCAAATTACGAGGGGATGTTTAAAAGTTTGCAAAATGTATGGAATTTTACAAGATTCACTAACTGCAATTGCAGATTGTACATTTTTATATTATTCTTGTTTTGGTAATGACTCAAGTCACGTAGCTAGCTTCTCTCTAGTCACAAATTTAAACAATTCGTTGCCAGATGTATTTTAAATGCGGAAAGTTTACTGGATGTTCCTTTATTTTAAACTTCCCCTCGTATGGTTAAAAAACCTACAATAACAATACAGCGTTTTTTATAACTTTAAACGATTTTAAACATTTAAAAACGCTATTTTGCAGTTGCGGGTAAGTGCCATAAGATACATGTTATTAGTGGCTTTCAATATCCCAGACAAAAGCCCCTGTATATTTTTTCACGTTCTATCGCTTTAAAATTCTTCTCTAATAAAAATTGACAAGTTTTCTCAAACTAAACAATGTGGATTGTGGATTTTTCTACGTGCATAAAAAAGAAACATCTAAAAATAGACAGGGACTCTAACAGACCGTTAATTAATGCAATCCTATAATGATTAATATGCATAAATATGGTGTTACAGAATATATTGGTTAAACTAAAAGTTTTACTGTTATTGCGCCTATTTAAGAAGAAATGCTTCAAAAAAGAGTAAATAAGTTGCATATGTATAGTTTTTAATTATGAAACTCAGTATTATTACAAAAATTTAAATAATTTTTAACATGGGTTTAAGTTTTAAGATATAAATAATTAGTAAAAACAGTATATAAAAAACAAAACAATTTAGTAAGAATAATTACAATAATTAAAATAAACAAACTTAACTGTTGCAGTCTTTAACATTACATTCATTTCAAAATTCTACAAATAGATATGAGTGAGATAAGCGTGAACGTAGATCATATTCGCTTGTATATTCATGGCGTAAGAAATGAGTGGCTTTGCATAAGTAAGAGAGAGATAGAAATAAATCAATTCAATATGGCGGATTGCCTATTTCTTCAGGACCTCCTTGATGGGTATCAAATGATAAGGATTTTTTAAATTTTAATTTTTTAAATTTTAAAAATTTTGAAGACTATCAAAGTTACCTATGTTGTTTTTAAATGAAACCTTTATAAAATATATTATAATATTAAATATTATATTAGTATTAATTATCCTTGTTTGATCATTTATCGTTTTTGCATGTAATTTTTTTTTGGATCTTCCAAGTTCTAACGCAGGTTCCATGTTCCACACCAAAAAATCTCATCTTCACATTTAAATGCAAATAATTGAGGTTATCTACATATTTTTTAGAAAATAATATTTTTAAAACATTAATATAATTTTCAGAAAATAAGACGAACTTACCATTAAATTGACAGATAGATAACCTCAATTATTTGTATTTAAATGCCAAAGTGGGTCTTTTGGTTGTGGAGCATAATACATAATAACAATTTCAATTTCATTTCATTAATGATGCTATTTATTTGTATATAAAATTAAAAAACAATTTTTAAAAACGTTTGGAAAAAATTGTAAACATTCATATTTTGACACAAACTGTCAGAAAATATTGTTTTCATACTAACCGTTCTTAAGTACGTGTTAAATTTAAATGCTTAATAACTTGGAAGTCGAAAAAAAAAATTTGTTTGCATAATTTAAGAATGTTAAAATTTTGAAATGTACATAAAAATTATAATTTTTACATAAATTAATAAAAAGCATTACCCATTTAAAAAATAAAGCTATCTGAGTAGGTGGGTTAAATTAAAAAATATTTCTAATTTGATCAGAAAAATTAGTTTAAGTTAAAACATGAAATTGACATCTTTTTCCTTTGAATTGTATAATTTTTAAAATTTCCTACTCTGACATCAATAAATTTAAAATGAATGGTATACCAATAAATCAGTCTTAAATAACTATTCATAATAATAATAAAGGTACTCAAAAGTACAACTTCAACATTTAAATACAAATATTTGAGGTTATCTATATGTCAATTTAACGCTAATTTCGTCTTATCTTCTGAGAATTATATATTGTATATTTTGTGTTCTAAATTACGACCTTTAAACACAAACAATACATATATTAATATTTTAAAAATATTATTTTATGAAAAAAATAAAATTGTATTTTTTTCGGAATTATTAGCGTTTAACTGAGAGATAGATAACCTCAATTATTCGTATTCAAATGTCAAAGTGGGACTTTTGGATATTCGCCAGTGTTGCCAAGTGTAATATCAGTGTATGTGCACAGGTTATTTCACTTTACTCAACCTACAGGATCTAGTGTTTACATGTTGTGGACTTGTGTGATTGTGCTAATTTTAAAAGCGTAAATTTAAAAATCGCCATTGCTTTTGATTTGATTTTTGGTGTTATTATTTTTGTGATGAAATGTGCAGCGGTTGAGCAATTCAGTTATTTTATGCCAGAACAGTATATTTTTTGGCAATCAGTCAGTCTTATTCAATCTTTTAGATTACATGTAAAATACGGCGACCACCTGAAAAAGAACCTCTATTTTCAAATTGCCAGAACAGTCAATGAAAATAAGCACTGCTACCAACAAAATTAAATAAAATTTTTATCTTACTTACATTTTTAAAGGGGGATCTAACAACATCAATAAATGGCCACCATAGGTAAATGCATTGTGTTCAGTTAGTCTCTCCAGACTCGGCTTCCTTCTCCTGATATAATCTCAACAAATCCATGGCATCTTGCGCTTGTCTTTTCTCGCACAGAAACCTGCCGGAGGCTTCCTTTAGTTGTTCGAGAAAAATTTTGTCTGGAAACGTGATATCCACCAGGGATTCTGGGTCCATATCGCTCAACATTTCCAGTTCTGCACCTCCGAGAAGGGAGACATGGCAGAGGTTATGCTTGATTTTGCCGACCAGACCGGCCAACTCCGCTCCCCCTCTCGCATCGTCGACTTGATCCAAGTTTAATCTACACGTCGGGGCCTGTGGCACCCACTTTTCTTCGTTTTTTAATATCATAAGGGCTATGTTTGGGTCGAGGGTGGCGAAATACTCTTCATCGTCAATTTCCGTCCCGTCGGATTCCAGAACGATCGTAATTTCGCCCGTAATCCCGAGTTTTTCATTGATTTTTGAGGTTAAATCGTCGAGAGAATTAGCGACAACTCCTTTCTTGACGTCTCTCGATGCGTCGGTGATTTTGAACGGCTTGCCGGACTGATTGGTGTCATTTTCCATTTTTACTTGCTTTACGGCACTGTTTTCATTTCACTTTGAAGTACCTGTGTATATTTTTCGGCACTCTTTGTTTATAACGAGCATAACGGTGTTGCCGCCCACTTTAATACACGAGTGACATGTTGGTTGCAGCGCGCATGGCGAACAAAAGGTCATCGCCGGTCATGTCGCAATCGATAACATTTTCAAATTTTCACACACAGTGTTAATTTATAGGGTGTTTAAAAATAAGACAAGTGGCTTATGCGATTTCAGTTGCATTAATGGAGGCTTAATTGCTTAGTTACAATTAATACAGGGTGCTTCATAATATATGCGCAGGACTTCAGGATTTGATAGCTCATCCAAAAAGATGAAAAAAGTCGCTATTAACTTACCCTCTAAAATGCACAATTTTCGAGATACAGGGTGTTGAAATTTTAGAAAAAAAATCGGTTTATTCGAATATCTCCGGAACCGTTTATCGTACAAAAAACAGCTTTTGTAAGCATTTTCTACTCATAATAAGCTATATTTGGTGCCAGACAAATTTTTTTTTACTCATAATTGGTGGAGATTTTGAAGGGGTAGCGGGTGTTTTTCTCCTCAACTTCTACGCCCCTGAAAAAAGTACGGTTTTGAGAAGCCCATTCGAACCGCCAATATTGGCGTTTTCTATACAAAAAAGGAACTCTTGGCCATAAGCTCTAAAGTTGACCGTTTTCGAGAAAAATCAACTTTTATGTTTAAAAAAATGGTAAATTTTTTGAAACAAATTTTTTTTTACCAATTATACAAAATTTATTTTAACGTTAGAACAAGTAACAAAACCAAACGATAATTGCAAAATTAAAAAAATGATTCAAAAGTTGTCTGCAAAATTCTCCAAACCGTAAAGGTAACGCATTTCGCACACGTGTATTTCAGAATTTGTGTAAAAAATCATTTTTTATTTTTTTTTAATTCTGCAATTATCGTTTGGATTTGTTACTTGTTCTAACGTTAAAATAAATTTTGTTTAATTACTAAAAACCATGTTTTTAAACATAAAAGTCGATTTTTCTCGAAAACGGTCAACTTTAGAGCTTATGACCAAGAGTACCTTTTTTGTGTAGAAAACATTGGCGGTTCGAATGGGACCAAACTTTTTTCAGGGGCGTAGAAGTTGAGGAGAAAAACACCCGCTACCACTTCAAAATCTCCACCAATTATGAGTAAAAAAAATTTTTTTCTGGCACAAAACATGGCTTATTATGAGTAAAAAATGCTTACAAAAGCTGTTTTTTATACGATAAACGGTTCCGGAGATATTCGAAAAAAAAAATTTTTTTTTCTAAAATTTCAACACCCTGTATCTCGAAAATTGTGCATTTTAGAGGGTAAGTTAATAACGACTTTTTTCATCTTTTTGGATGAGCTATCACATCCTGAAGTCCTGCGCATATATTATGAAACACCCTGTATAAAAAAAATTGAACATATTTTATAAGAATGGGGTAGTTAAATTTTTTCTGACCTATACTTTTTATGGTTTTATTCAAGGCGTTTTGTAATATTAAACATTTCTGTGAAATCAGAATTTCAATTGAGTTTACCGTTTTCGAGATATTTACAAAAAATATAAATTTGTATGACGTCACAAACCTCGCCATGTGACCAACATTCTAAGATTTCTATTGGTTGAAAATTACCCTGTTGTCAAGTTGTCTTGTTAATGATTTCATTCGGTTATGTCAGAAAATACCCGAAGAGGTTATATCCTTTTTCTATGGTTATGTACAAATACTGTGAAACTCATATAGGAATATGCGCAACAAGCGCCTTCCGAGCAACGTTGCCATATTTTCTTTTTGTGGCTTAAGTCATCTTTTTTAATAATTATTTTAATTGTCAGTTTTGACATTTGTCAACAATAGAAAGAATATTAATAACGGTAAAGATCTATTTCTAAGCTTTTAAGTATTTTTTGACTTTTTTCATCTGTATTGCTTTCCCTTGAAGTTACAGTAAGTATACTTATATACTATATATATACAATAAATCAGTTGCTTTTATAATGCTTTTTTGGAGATTGACATACCTATTAAATAATTAATTTGTGTGTAATTTATTACGATTAGTTCTTTTTGCAAAAACCAATACTACTTAATAATATTGGGACATTTGCTTTAATAGGGACTATTGTTGTTTAAAAGTAATTTCCTGCGTACTGATGTCCCTGGTGGAAGAAGTTATTGAAATTTTTACTATTGTTAAAAAATGTAATGCATTAATGGACATCAAATTTTTTTAAATACATGTATGTTTTTTTAGGGCCAAAACCGATGCAGGAGGGAAGTTTTATACCTTCTTTCACTTCTGAACCCATTCAAAATACAGATGCACTGTTTGTATATTCTTTAATTTATTTTATTGTTAAAATTAGTGTATTATAACCATTTACTTTTTAAAATAAATAAATCTTTGCAACTATTTTATTTTATTGGTAAAATTTAAATAAATTTATATTATAATTATTAATATATACAAAATAGATAAAGCCGGCCCTGTATTATAAAAGTTAATAAAATATTTGGAGTACGGCCCTAATTGGCATGCGTTTATGACGCTTGTGTTTCTTAAGTTTAAAACAGTGGTCGCCCTTCTTATATTCTTTTTCTATGACTGTCACTGTCAGTTGAGTGACAGATGGTCACCAAATTCATTAAGTACCTATCTTCCTTATTACGAGGTATCATATTACTGTTTGATATTTTAGAATCCAAGATATATCTAAAAGAATATAAAGAACTAGGCATTATACTAATGAAATGCATATACGACAAAATATGATTATAATTATAGGTACTTACTTTATTTGTTTAAAAGCTCCAATGTTCAATGTAACCAACCATTCCACAAGATTCCTCTGCTTTGGAGTCCGTTATTAATAAATCACTTATCTAATATTAATTACAAATAACATAACAATACCATTGATTTTCAATAATCTAAATTTAAAAAAAACATAAACCGAAAAATAGAAACGTCAAAAAATCAATTCTTCTTCTTCTTCTCAACTAAAATTATAGATCAAGTGGTTTTAAAACTAAAATATTATAACGTGGCGCCATCTATCGTAAGAATCTTAAACTAAACACACTGGCAACCATAGAAAAAGCTGGCAACGTTGTCAATAGCCTAGTGACGTAATTAGGAGATTTTTTTTTTGTAAATATCTCTAAAACGGTAAACTCAATTGAAATTCCGATTTCACAGAAATGTTTAAAATTACGAAACGCCTTGAATAAAACCATAAAAAGTATAGGTCAGAAAAAATTTAACTACCCCATTTTGTTGAACCGCCATCCGTCAAACGGCTATTCTCTTTGAACATAGCCCACTATTATAGTAATCTCTTTACAAATATCCTTATTTTTTACAATTCTTTATGTAGTAAACTGTGCGGTAAATTTCCACTTAAGGCGGTTTCATATAAATGCGAAATACGAAAAATACGAAATCCAGGGTTGAGTTTTTACCGGTTTTCCAATAAACAGTGTTAATCCGAATGAAGAAATAAATTTCATACATTCCCTGTAATTTACAGGCTGTAAATATAAATTGTATCTATTGGATTCAATAAATACATGTGCACATTTTAGTACCTAATGATTAACGTGAAAAGTGTAAACATTTCAATTCAGTAAAAATCGTCAAACAAATAAGTCGTCTAAATTTAAACAGCATTTAGCATTATTAAAAGCTAGAATACCATTATATTATGTATTATATAATATATATATATATAATGTTGCCATGAATTCGTATACCTATTATAATAGGTATATTTTGTTGTTTAAAAAGCAGTTGTCGGTGTTTTTTAGAGAACTCAAATATAAAAATGGTTGATTTTAAAGTTATGTTTGTGCAAAAATTATTTTTTACTAATTTTTTAAAAATGTCCAAACTTAAATATAAATTAAATTAGGTAAAGTTATCATTAGTTAATTCTGCACCAACAAATGTACTTACCGAATTGGATCCTTTGGCATAACATGAAAATGCAATGATTTAGTTCTTGAATTTACAATTAAAAACACAATAATTCACCATGATCCCTTGGATAAAATACACACTAACGTAACTATATAAGCATTTAAGAGTTGAGTTTCTTAATCAATAATATAAAAAATAATCAATCGAAATCGAGTAATAAAAAAGTTTTTTAGTTTTTTCCTTGCAACGTAAAACACAAATAACTTGCGCGATTTAGCTGTGCAATTGAATGAAATTTGTCGAGTAAGACTTCTGCCTTCCTCTCTTTTGTGAAAAAACTACCTATTTATATAAAAATTATGTACAGTTCGTATGCTTTAAATGTATTGTTGACAATTCTTAAATTCACGCTGTGGTAGGGATTAAAAGTTATTTTCGTTATTTTAGAATCATTTTTGTTTGAGAATTTATAGGTTTTATTTTTATCGAATTCGTTTGTTTTGTTTTAATGCATTTCTGCAAATAAAAACTAAGTATTGTTTAACATAATAAATGTATTTCTTAAAAACTATACACATTTCCCTACGACAGCGTCGGAGCTACTGAACAAACACAGTAGATCAAACTAGAGGTGTGTTGCGATTTCGCAAACTGCTACTTTGTCACTGCTCCGGTGGCGTCGCAATCGCAAACTGCTCCGCGGCAGTAAAAATCGCAGCGACATTTCGGAGCAATTTAAAATTTAAATTGCTCCGAAATTTTAATTATACCAGGCCGTCGCTGTTGCTCTCTTCAGCAGCGACCGTGTGGGGAATTGTTCCACATGTATTTATCAATATGTGATTGAACTTATTGGTAGATAACTCGTACAAAAAAACCTTTTAAACTTAACAAACATATATCGCTAAGTGAAAAATCACAGATCACGCTAATTAATAAATGTAAGTAGCAGTCGTTATTCGTGATTTTTAAATATCAGTGAAAAAATCACAGTTCGTGAAATATCGCTTATCTCTAGTTGCTTCGCCGTTCGCACTTTCGCCAGTGTTTTGCTTTTACTGTGGCACTGCTCAAACAAAACTGCTCTGGAGCATCGCAAATCACATTGCTTCGAAAAATCGCTGCTTTTTGTCACAGTGTTCC